CTAGTCGTGTCGGGACTAGCTCGCGTTTTACGGCTATTTCGGTTTTTCGCGGTTTTTATGTTTAACTCGGACGATGGTGTAATCGACGTTTGTTTCGTTTTTCCGAGATAACGATCTTCCGAGTTTTCCGCGGATTTCCTTTGTTCGGAAATCTTTTTGGATTTATAAAACGATTTATCGAGTTTTATAAAATGATTCTTCGAGTTTTATAAAATGATTTCTCGAGTTTTATAAAACGATTCTTCGAGTTTAATAAAACGATTTCTCGAGTTTTTTAAAACGATTTCTCGAGTTTTATAAAACGATTCTTCGAGTTTAATAAAACGATTTCTCGAGTTTTTTAAAACAATTTCTCGAGTTTTATAAAACGATTTCTCGAGTTTTATAGAACGATTTCTCGAGTCTTATAAAACAATTTCTCGAGCTTTATAAAATGACTTCTCGAGTATTATAAAACGATTCTTCGAGTTTTATAAAACAATTTCTCGAGTTTTATAAAACGATTTCTCGAGTTTTATAAAACGGCTTCTCGAGATTTATAAAACCATTCCTCGATTTCTCGAGTTTTGTAAAACGATTTCTCGAGTTTCATAAAACGATCTCTCAATTTTTATAAAACGGAAACTTCTTTTATAAAAAAATTTCTCGAGTTTTATAAAACGATTTCTCGAGTTTTATAAAATGATTTCTCGAGTTTTATAAAATGATCTCTCGGGTTTTATAAAATGTAATCTTATTTTATAAAACGATATCTCGAATTTTATAAAACGATCTCTCGAGTTTTATAAAACGTATTTTTATTTTTACTTTTGCGGAGGCTTTTAGCCATTGATTCCGTCGTGACCGATTTTGACACCAACAGTGTTCAAGTCGGCTGGGTCACGAATTGGCCTTGTGCGCCTTTGGTGTCGATCAATGTCACAGAGTGTGCATGGATCGATTTTAATCACTCCGTGTCGACCTACTGTGTCTGTTGATATCCAAATCGGGTGATTTCTCTATCTCTCTCCAAAATGCTTCAAAAACATCACTTTCTTCCAAAATACTTTTAAACCTATAAATATGCTTAAAAGACTCTATAATATAATAAATAGATATCAAAACACTTATATACCATGACTAAAAGTGGGTTAAATTCATGATATATCAACTCCCTCCTACTCACCCTTTTGCTTGCCTCAAGCAAAACAAATAGGCAGTCTCTCTGAAAGAGGTTTGAAAACAACAGGGATTCACAGATTTAAAAATTTCAAATCATCACCTCTACGATATTGCAATCCACATCTAAAAAGTCATATTCACAGAAGTACATCATACCATATCCTAGCTTAGCAACCAAATTCATCTATCCAGCAACTTAGCAAATACTATCTGACAACCCCCTCAACCAACCTCATTTCTTAACATAAATAAAAGTGCAGGATTCACCTTGGGAGTATTGATCACATGATGCAAGTATTTTCAAACAAGTATCTGGATCTGTAGGTAAATGTTAGTTCATATCTTTTCTCTTTTCTAATTTCTCTCTTAAGTCAAAATATGCTTTTATTGCATGATCATTGACCAAGACTGGATAGGTTTCCATGAAACAAGCCTTAATGGTGGTTACCACCAAGTCTTGATCACTTCTTTTTGGTCTATATTCAAGAATTCATATGAAGTGAGCCTTAATGGTTGTAGCCACCAAATCCCGTTCGAATCCTTTTGTTGGAATCATTATGAATCAAGCCTTAATGGTTGTAGCCACCAAGTCTTGTTCTGATTCCTCCTAACTAAAATCTCTATAAATAATATATATATATATATATATATATATATATATATATATAAATTTATATATTTTAACTAATAAACTCAATATCTCTAATTAAATATCTAGGGTCAAAAATAGAGAGAGAAAAGGTGATAAATCTACACAAGGCTTTACTTTCTAGAATTGTTTTAAGAATCCGATTCCATGTATACCAAGCAGCTGTGCCAGATTTAGCGTTGGAGGTCATCTTTGGTTCCTTTAAACAATCTAAGAAAGTGTGGATAGTTGACATGTTGATCCACTTTAGCATCTTTAGTACTATCTGTAATCAGTAAATCTAGAATGGTGCTAAAGAGTGGTTCGATAACAAGTAAAAATCAATAGGTTCATCATCCCCTTCTTGAGCTCAATAAAAATAGTTTTTGAAAACAATTTTAATAAGACTCATAATAAACCAATATCAGTAAACTTCCCTCATACTTAAATTACACTGTCTCCAGTATAAAACAGACGGGGGTTTGGTGAATAAATAAACCATAAGGACTCAATGTAACAAGTTAGAACGATATGTCTGACCAGACTGAATATCGATCGATGTGTAAAAGGATGCATCGATCGTCGAAGGTATTTTTGTGTCGATCGATATCGACGTGTCCCAGTCGGTCGATATAATGGTAATCTTTCTCTTTTGATCTTTTTTTTTTAATCTGAAAAATAATGACGAAAATAAATACTAGTAAAACAGAAAACCAAATAAAAATACCTAATGGTGGGTTTCCTCCCATTCAGCGCTTTGTTATAGTCATTTAGCTCGACTTTGGAGGTATTTTGAGCTAGTGTGTGGAAAAGCAGCTACTTGTTGGAAAACAAGTATCTACATCATCCCTCCTTATTCTGAACCAAATGACCATGAAACCTTGTGGCTTCATCACTTCTGGTCCATCTCTCATCCATTTTGACTACTGCTTCTGAGATGTTTTGCAGCCACTGTTGAATTTTTCAATGCTGAAACTGTGCATCCTAATCTTATCAAAAGCATATAGTGACAGTTCCTTCAGCTCCTCTTGCACTGAATCAAGCATGGCTAGTCTATCATGTAACAACTTCTCTCGGTCTGGTGTAGACTTGGTATCGATAGCTGCGACTATTGTTGCGTCGGAGGCTGCCGGTTTAGCTCTGTCGATCGATGTGCAGGTACTCCTGTCGATAGATGCTGATGTTCCAGCATGACATGCAAGCCATTTCTGAATCGCTTTTACCTCCTTCTGAAGCCATTGTGTGTCTGAATGTAATCCACTGATGCTGTTGCCGAATGGGAAGTATATGTCAACACATCTCTTGTCAATCATGTCCTCAGTAGTGCTCAAAGCTTTGTAAACTCGGTCAATGACTTGATCAATTTCTGGTCTGGTATAGAATTTTGGCGCTGGTGGTGTGTCTTGGCGTCGATCGATTTGGTGAGGTACCTATCAATCAATGTCGAACCTGCTAGGTGAAAGTCGAGTTGATTCTGGATGGTGTCAACTTCCTATTGTAATGCGCTCATCTGGGAAGCTAAGGTGTCTAAGTATCGCATAAATGGAGAAGTATAACGATCATGCTCATCTTCACAAGATTGCATTCTATCCTCCATAGCTGCGAACCTGGCATCGATCGATGTGTCAACCTTGGTATCGATCAGTACGGGTTCCTTAGGTTGACACTTCTCCTTCCCGCGGAGAATATCTAAATCTTTCTACATCAACTCAATCTTCATGCTTAACCAGGTTACATTATTGTTGAGATGATGGTAGACTTCACCAATCTTCGTGTTGAGGTATGCTTCTTCCCAAGGATCTACCGTTCCTGTCAACATCTCATCTTGTGCAGGTATGTGTCTGGCGTCGATCATTGCTGCTTTGGTGGCGTCGATCGATGCAGCTACGGTTGCTTCCTCTGCACGCTGTATTTGCATATTAGCTATTTATGCTCTCGTCTCTTGCGTGCGTGTGTTTAACCCTCTGATTCTCTCCTGCAGAACTGTGTAAACCATATCAAGCTTCTCGTTGTATTCATGTCCAGATCTCTCTTGAAAATCATTGATGCAAAATACCAGATCGTTTATCTCATCTTTGGTGTAGAGCTCTGGTTCCAGATGATAGTTGATATCATCATCTGGTTAGACTTGAACATACCAAGTTTCTTGCACGAGTATCCTTCTCTTTGGAGAGAGGATCTTTCTTAGCTTCAACTTCGGCTCTAGAGCTAGACTCTCCTTCATCCTTAGTATCATTGAGGACTTCTTTGTTGAGAACATTACCAAGACCTTGAAGTTCATGTTACATTAGCATCTTAAACTTCCACATTCCGAAATCACTCGAACCATCAAACTTCTCCATTTCGAATCTTGCATGAACTGATTCCATAGCAACCTATCAACAACCACAACTCCACACAGAAAACAACCAGCATACCAAGAGGTCAAATCCAGAATCTTAGAGCCGATGAGCCTACCTCTAAACTCGTTAAGAACTGAGGTTCAGTTCGATCAATTTATATGTTCTAGTTAGACTTCATATGTGATCTGGTTCTAGTTTTAATCTTCTAATGACTGGGGAAAGATTAAAACACTCTAACTTTTTCACTATTGACCAAAGAGATACAATAAGGAAGATACCCATAAAACACTCTATCAACCATAAAACGCTGTCGTTTTTTAGCTCTTGGACCTTAAGCGGAAATACCCAAACCAAATGAATGAACAAGCCCAATAAACTTGGCCGATAGAAGTTCAAGAATATCGACTCGAAACGACAACACCTCACAGAAACACACCAAGATATAAAAGAAATCATGCCCATAGGGAGGAGACGATCCCTAGTTTATCTGCTAGATGGCATTGTCAAGCCTTCAAATCATATGGACCAAGCTGGTTTGGCTCTAAAGATTATGATGAGCGGGTGATTATCAAAATTGAGCGAGGGAATGAACATAATGTTTGGTGATGAAGAGTAAATAAAGCGCTGCTGATTATCCTTACTCTTAAGCAGATATTACGTACATCGTAATTTATTCGGTTCTCTGGCGGTGATATATATAGAAAGTTTTTAGCTTTAAACGGTGCCAGAAGGAGGAGAGAGTCTTTTGATTTCATCAGGTGTTGTTCATTTGTAATCTTAGAGGAAGAGATTGATGAATGTTGATTGATTCATCAGATCATAATCTCGTTGTATATTGTTTGGAATTGGAGCTATAAGCTTAAATAAACTGGAAACTAAAATAATGCTTTTTATAGCTTATTAATTTTTTCACACAGAAACATAAACAAATAGACATAAAGAAGAAACAGAAGCAAGTACATGGTAAGAACACACTTGGAAGAAACACAAAGAAAACGTAAGTAGGAATATCTTAAGAAAAGACAAAGGCAGGGGTGGTCTTGATGTCGAGTTCCCAGAGTTCAAACGTCCCATTCACGAAATCATAGTGAGCTCCTCTTAAGGCGAGCTTACCCTTCTCCACTCGTTCTCTCACGAATGGGTAAGACAACAGATTCCCCAATGTAACGTTCACCGCTTCCTTGAAACCCAAGGCAATCTCAGTTACATACCCAACCAAGACAAGAAACAGAGACAAATAATGTGTATTTTTTTTATTACGTACCTTTTCACAATGGGTGCACTGTTCCTCGAAGCTCAGGTCTTTAAACTCCTCCTTAATCTTGTTTTTGGCTGATGTACCGATCTTCACCCAGTTTTCTATGAAAACGCTGCCATTTCAAAAGATTTAAATGAAGTTAGTGAACCAATCTTTCAAGAAGCCGTCTCATTCTTCTTGATTATGTACACTTAATGAACTTTGATTAAATAAGCGTTTGAGTTTGGTTACCTCTTATTCGGAGCTGCATCATCTTTAATGGACATGAGTGCCTCTATTCCACCACAATCGCTGTGACCAATCACCAGAATGTTCTCCACCTGATAGTTAGTGACAAAACATTATATTATATATATATATATATATATATATATATCTTAAGGCTAAAACTAGTTCACGTCAGGTTTTCACTAAGTATCTTGGACAATTGTTACGTACGTTGAGTTTTGTAATTGGATATTCCATAGCCGCACCAGTACCAGAGTGTTGTGTCTGCAAGTTTCCAAAAACAAAGCTTATGTTGTTTAACCACTAACAACAACTTGTGATGTTTGTGTAAAGATAATCAGAAAGACATGGAAATATTGGACGAACCTTGTCAAAAGGTGGAACCATGTTTGCAATGTTTCTAATTTCAAAGGCTTCCCCAGGTTGGAAGTTCAAGATGTGAGCAGGGCTAACTCGGGAATCCGAACAAGCAAACACCAGAAACTGCAAAACAATTTTTACACTTCTAAGAGGATATCTATCAAGCACTATTATCACTATTTTACACGCTTAACCCTCCTTCCTAATTTTTAGGGTTTTTAGTTTTATTAGTAGCTTGCTCATAGAGGCACTATTATCATTACTGGACTAATCATTTTCTTCTGTTTAGAGAAAGATAAAACGATTAAATGAAGCCAACAAAGGAGGACAACTAATAATATTTTTAAAAAGGAAGAGATCAGCAAAATTTAAAACCTTGGGGTTCTGGTTCTTGGCAAGTGCATTGTACAACGAAGGTTTCTTCCTGGAAAATGATGAAACTAACCATTTAATGAGCAATCTTTATTTAACCAATACACATTAAAAGCATCCATAACTTAAAGAAACACTTCTTCCATCCTATACCCTTTTGATTAGGTAACCAGATTAAAATAATAAATGTTGATAAACACTATTATCATGTAGCGAAAAAGTGGTGTTTTTTGCCAACCTATAATAATAAAATTGTCTAAAATGCTTTAGTTAGCCAAACTGGTGGGACTAAATCGATATAAACTATTGTTGTAGAAAAACTCAGAGTATTGCATGGTAACTTGTCTGTTTTTTGCATTTTTTTGAATGTGGAATATGTTTGATATTGAAATGGATGGTTCCATACGGTATTAGGAATATAACGTACAAATATTTGTGAGTCTTGAAATGGATAAATCCGGATTGGATTCGTTCTACAGCATCTGATGACTTGTCGGATTTATGTTCCTCTAGCTCACAACATAACTTCTTAACCTTTGTCGCCGCCACTTTCCCGAGATCCGATTTACAACTGCAAATTAGTTCACCTTTTCATATTACACATTTTAGATCACATACTTGTTATGGGTCAAGGTACAGTATATGGTGGAAATGATCTACAGTTTTGATCAATCTAAAACCCGCAAAGTCCAAGATGTCTCATTGCTTTGGGAAAGAAAGAAAGTGTGTGTGTACCTGAGAAGCTCTGCTAGTCTTTCAAGGGCATCTTCATACGACTCGGTCGACATTTCTTTTCGTTCCTAGAACAAAAAAAAAAAAATTCAAAACTGAATAGTCATTGATATACTATTTTATATGGAAAGATAAAGAGATTAGAATGATTAGTTTCTAGGCTGACCTTCAGATGTGCTTTCTAAAACAAAGGATGTAGAGAGTGCTATAAATATAAATTTTACTTGATATGTTAGGAGATGGTCTCTACTCCCGCTATTTATAGCCAGATATCTTCCACTTTTCACTACGCGGAAAAATTTTATATGCTTAACTTGTCTATTTTAAAAAGAGCGGGGTTGTTATTTAAATACTTTTCGTTAAAGCAACTTTGAAACTAAAAAATATACAAAACGTTTTGCATACAGGAAAAGAAACACCCTCCAAGTTGGAATATTTTGGTATTTGAAGGAAAAGAAGAGAGTAGACACCAATGGTGAATTTATCAATGTTCTTCTGTCTCCATGTTCTGTAGCGGTCATGATTTCAAGTTCAGTTATTTTCTATTTTTTTCAATCAATTCTAAATAACCTCGATGTACGTAGGAATATATATATAGATGATATAATTTTTGGAGACCAATTAAGAGCGAAAACAGATCAAACAGTGGAGATGGCTAACAAAATTATGCAAATTATAAAAACCTGATTATAGATTAGTCAACAAAAATTTAGAATAATGTTGATATTTTCAGTATCTTTATTTATAGGAGACAATACATTTAGTCTAAAAATTAGCATTACTTATTGCTAGGATTTTTTTTTGTCTGTGGATCCAAGCACTAGGTGAAAAATCTCATGCGCAAATATCAAGCATGTGGAAGTCTAGATAAGCTTAGGTGTTGTCCCCAGATTTGGAAATCGAAACGGAACCAACCCTAAAAAAATTGAATTGAAACCGAATGAAAATTCTTCAGGTACATGTGTAGATCCAAAATTCTTCTATTCAAAAGAACCAAACCCGATAAGAACATGTCCGAATAGTCCAATAAGATCGATCCAAACCAACATGAGTTATGACTCTATGTGTTCTCTTTTCTAATTTTTGATGTTGTTGTGAAGAAATTTTGTTTTAATCTTCATTCTTTTTTTACATTTTCCAGTAATAAAAAACTTTGATATCGATGAATTTTTGATAAAAATTTGACCCGTATCCGGATCAAATGATGCCATTAGTTTTCCGGGTATATATAGATATATAATATTTGGAATTGAATTAATACAGGGAACCGTACGAACCAACCTGTAACCAACCCAAAAATTTATAAAACATGATTGCTGAAACCCTAAAGATCTGAACCAGATGGAACCTACCCAAATTCAAATTGAATATCAATACGTCGAAGCCTAAGTCTATAATACTTGATGGTGTAGTATTTTCAAAGGATTTTATGACCAAGTTTAGGATGCCATACTAACATGTTATCATAGTTATTTTCTTCCGCATAATTTGTGGAGGGAAATCTACCAAATATGACTCAAAATTTGATTTCAAATATAAAAGTGTATTCCAACTCAAATTAAATATAAAACTAATTTAAAAGACCAGTGAAATTATAAACATTCTCTTATGACCAAACAAAGAAACATGATTGTAGTTTACCTTTATAATCCTGTGAGTGAAAAGAATTACTTGAAAATCTTCTCATGTTGTAGATCTTAAAAATAATTTATAAATTATATAAAAAATATTTTGATTAGTAAAAAAATCATAATCATGTAATTATCGACATTTATAAATGATGTAAATTTATATTTAATAAAACAGTATAGCTTTCAAGATATATCAGTGAATGTAAGTTAGTCATGATATTCTTTGGCATATCTGTTTAGTTTTGTGTATATTAAACAATTTGTAAGTTTATTTTAAGTTTGATAAAGTTTTGTATGTGATTTAGTTCTATATATAATTTTTTGGGGTTTTGGAAGACTTAAATTGATATAATGCACTAGAAGACTTACAAGATGACTTAACAACAGTTTCCACTTAAAATTTTAAGTTTTCCGCCTAAACTAAGTCTTCTAGGCGAATAGTAAATCTTCTGGACAAATAGTAAGTCTTCTGGGTGAATAGTAAATTTTCTGCGCAAATAGTAGGTCTTCAAAATAAATCTCATGAGTGAATAGTAATTAATTTAGGGTCTAGAAGATCTTGGAAGAATTTCAGGTAACTCTTCTAATAAAAGACTTACATGAAAGTTTTCTGTATTGAAAATATTTAACCTAATTAGAATTTTTGTCTTCCTATATAAATAAAAATTTACACATTCTCTTTCTTCCTTTCAGATGGAGGCAACAAACATGTAATATTTATCACTCTAAAATTCTCTAACCTCTCTCTAAACTATTTGAATTTGATAACACCAAACATAATATCAATTTTTTAGTTTTATGTGTTTCTCACTATTTTATTTTGTTTTTGCAAGTTTTTCATTACATAGTTTTCATCTTTCACTCATTTAAAGATAGATCTATAATTTTTTGATATGTACTTTTGTGTCTTTTATATATTAGATTCTAATAAGCTATAGATTCAACATAATGTGATTGCTTTAGTTATTATTTAAGCTTTAATACTTTGTTTTTTTTTTGTTTTTTTCTCTGTTTTGATGTCATTTGAATGTTTTTGGATATGCAGGTTTTTTTAGAACTGAGTTAGATATTGGAAGACTTTCAGAAGACGTTCAGAAGGTGTAGTCTTAAGTCTTCTGGCGTAGTCTTAAGTCTCCTGGCGTAGTTTTAAGTCTTCTTATATAGTCTTAAGTCTTGTGATGTACTCTTCTTCCATGTCTCCTCTTTCACAACAGATCTGAGCGTTTTGGTAAGTTTTCATGTCTAATTATTCTTCATTTAGTAATCTCTTGCTGCATAAAGCTCTTATCTTTTTTCCAAACTAAAATTCTCCAACCTATCTTTAAACATGAAAACACCAAACTTTATCAATTTCTCATTTTTCCTTATGTCTTTCTTATTAATTTATCTTGTTTTTGCAGTTTTTTTTTCAGATCTGAGTCAGACATTGGAAGACTTATAAAATACTTTCAGAAGACGTTCAGAGACTTTCTTGGAAGTCTTATGGCGTAATCTTAAGTCTTCTGATGTATTCTTAAGTCTTCTGACCTCTTCTCACATATCAAGTAGAGTCTAAGCTTGTCTTTGTGGAGGAATAATCTATAATAGTTTTGTTTATGGTCTGTTTTGTGATTTGTATGTATACTTTTTAGTTGTGATTTTTTGTAAATTTAGAGAAATATTAATGAAAAATATGGTAAATATGTGTAGTGTCCAAAATTACTTTACATTATTAAAGTAAACAAGAGTAGAATAAATATATGGTTTTATGTTTGTAAAATCAGTAATGATGTTTCTCAAGATGTAATATATGTGCTAACAATCTGTTTTTCACTTTTACAAATCAATGAAATAAAAAAATTCAATGGTCTTCGGATTCAAAACATGACTAGATATTGACCCGTACGACCGTACAGTTTTACTTTTCTTTTAATTTTTCTTTTGTTTTTCATGATGCATTTGTAAAGTTAGTCGTATTACATTGATATATATGTTAGTGACTGTAAACAATTTATTGATGTCATATAAACAAACTAAACATCAGAGAAGTACACACCGCATTGGTGTTTGTTTTTTAATTTTTTTTAATAAATAAATATTTATTGTTATAAGTGATAATATATATTTTAAATTTATTCATTTAAATAATTGGTTAATATGATATTTTTAAACACAATAATTTAATATTTTATATGAGTAGCTTTATTTTATCTTGTAAACCAGCAATAGTATCGTTCCTATTTTTAGAATATGATCCGTATATTTGAAAAGTATATTTTTATGAATCAAAATTTTGTGATAATGTATACAAAAATATACATAAATATGATAAAATAGGAAAAGACAAAAAAAATACTAAAAGATAGGTTTATTGATTATTGTTTTCATAATTTTTAGTTAAAATTTAATTTTGGAAATTTATTAATTAAACATGAAAAGACAAAAAACCCTAAAAGATAGGATAACTAATAACTCCAATGGCATAACATTGTAAATAAATTGAAAAATGAAGGGGTATTTTTATGGGTACTTCTATTTTAATAAAGTTGATGTTCATTGTGTAACTCTTCCAACTTCATTTTCATGTACATATTATAATCTTCTTGGAATGATTTAACCCTTTCGAAAGTTAACTTATCTTAAATTACTTAACATTCTTAACAATACAAGTTTATAAAAACAAATGTGGAAGACTTCCGCGTAAGTCTTGTGCGAGAAGACTTCTTAATAAGTTCTCAGATTAGCTAGAAACATTAAAAAATATAAATGTTGTTAACCTCATAATTATCACCAATTAAGTTATAAATTTAATTCAGGACCCCAATTATTGTCTAAAACATATAAATTAACAATACAATCTTAGAAAATCATTTTAAATTTGAAGAAAATAAAAGTTCATTATACATTGTTGTAGAAGACTTACCTGGAAGTCTTCTGGGATAAGACTCTTACGTAAGTCTTCCATTTAGGTCATTTTTGCAATTGAAAATTGGCAAAGGAAGACTTTCAGAGAGGACTTTTCTGGAAGTCTTCCTTTGTAAATATTTGATTACTTTTGTAATACAATAAATTCTCAAAGAAATCTAAGAACAATTAGTTTTGAAATTGACCAATCTGCGTCAAAAAGCCGAATGTCTACGGAAGACTTCCAAGTAAGTCTTCCGGAAGACTTATCTGAAAGTCTTCTCAACTCTTACATTAAGTCTACTCGCTAACGCTGTAAGTCTGCGTAGGTTACTTTTGCAATTAACTATATTTGACTTTTGTTGAGAACATTTTAGGTATGTTTTCCGCCAGAAGACTTACATGTAAGTCTTCCTTGATTACCTTAGGTTTGACCTGAATCACGGAATAAAAACCTACAAAACTTCTAGATAAGTCTTCCAGCATAAGATTTATCTGGAAGACTTCCAGATAAGTCATCGGACGGAAGACTTATAGGTACGTCTTCCCAATTTAAATTAAATGTTTTAAGTTTAAATTTTTAATTTCAAAAGTAACCTATACAGACTTGCAGTGATAGCGAGTAGACTTAATGTAAAGGTTTAGAAGATTTACCTGGAAATTTTTCGTAAAAAGTCAAATTTCTAACACAGA